CTGTTTTTCTTGCTTTCCTGTGAGTTACTGAAACATCTCTTAGAGTTCCATTTTGATTTATGTTTTTGATCATATCACTTTGTATAGTGTTCTCCGTGATTATTCTAGATCTCACTATGTATATAGGAAATTAATTAAAGCCTACTGTTGAGTAAAGTGTAGAAACTTTACTTCCATTTAGGTCTCTTTGCCCTCCCCACTTTTTGAATATAATTGTTTAAATCTCTCTTCTATATACACTAAACACCATATGCATGGTGTCATAACTTCTGCTTTATTTATTTATTTATTTNTTTCAATTACCATAATAGGATTTCCCACCCTCAACAGTTACAGTGGGGATTAAGTTTTGGAAGGACATTCAACCCAAGGCAGACATCAAAAAAAAAAAGGTGTAAAGAAGGTGCCTTGGAAGGAGTAATTAGTAATCTAATTTGATCATAGATTGATAGGCTCATGCCAGTTGGAAGAAATCTTCAAATATACCTTCTTTCCTCCTGTAGTCAGTAGCAGCTGTACCTGCATGGTCCTTGAAAGATGGGTGTTCACACTTAGAGAGCTACAGACTCATCTTCCATTATAAGAAGTCAGGGATAACTTCTAACATACAAAAATCAAGAAATCAATATAAACATGTCATTTAGAGATACTAGAAGACACTGCTAAAAGAGTTGAGGGAGGCGTGGTGGAAAGTGAATGTTGGAGTGGATAGGACAAGGAACAACTATGTTTTGTTATATATCTTTTAATGCTATTGATTTTTTAAAACTAGGTTCAAGTATTACTTTATTAAAAACAAATTTATTTTAAAAATAAATAGGTATAATCTTAGTAACTACCTTAAAAAAAAGAGAGAATGCATATCAATATTTTTGTTAAAGCATAAAGTTGAATTAAAGGTTATAATATAATATTTCTTTCCTTCCTATTCCTAGGCTTTATTTAATTTCCAATTTGTTTGGAGATTTTCTTGTTGTCCTTTTATTGTTGATTTTTACTTTGATACCATTATGGTCAGGGAACGTACTCTGTATAATTCAATTCTTTTAACTATTCTGGGTTTGTTTTATATCACAGGATATGATCATTCTTGGTGAATGTTCTATGAGTTCTCAGAAAGAATGTACGAGTATATTCTGCTGTTGTTGGGTAAAGTGGGTTCTATAAATGCCAGTTAGATCTTTTAGTTGATGGTGTTGTTCCAGTCTTCTGTATCCTTGTGAATTTTCTGTCTAGTAATTCTATCAATTGCTGAGAGCGAAGTTCTGAACAGTAATTGTGGCTTTTGCTATTTCTTCTATCAGCTCTATCAGTTTTTGCTTCATGTATTTTGCAGTTTTATTTGATGCCTATACATTTAAGATTCCTATATTTTTTTA